CACTGAGCTCCTGAGAGCGACCCATTCTTTCACAAATGTTTGTAAAAACAGTCTGCATGCCTAGGTGCTTGAATTTATACACCTGTGGCCATGGAAGTGATAGAAACACCTGATTCCAATAATTTGGATGGGTGAGCAAATACTTTTGGCAATATAGTGTATATAGGAAGAATTGGAGAGTACTTGATGCAGTCAAGGTATACTGTATGTGCAGTGAAGCCTTTATTTAGCTAAATAAAATGAAACTTCAGAAAAATACAGGTACATTCAGGTTCTACTGAAAAGATCAGTATCGAAAATGACTTCTTATGTTCCTCATTCAGTATCAGATATTTCCTAAGATGTGTCACTTTAAATTTGGAGTGGACGTGGCTGACTTACAGACTTGTTTGTGAATCCCGGTGAGGACAGTTTGCACAAAAACATGAGTTTGTTTTTTTTCTGTCCCAGTTTCCATTGTTAGTTCATAAAACTCAGCCAAGCACTCTGCAACACTGGCATCAGAAACACCAGTAGATGAGTCTGAATCACACACGACTGGTACTAGCAGTAGAAATCCTGGTCTGTCATGCTGTTTGCCGTAATAAGCACAGTAAAAACTGACATTATCCAATTAAAAGTGTCATTATTAATTAAATGTGAACGTGAGCTGCGTGTGTCGCACATTATTCTGAGAGTGAACGTCACTATTGTTGACATTCATTACTTCAAAACTGATCCGTTCAATTCACCAATCTCTAAAAATATGAATGTATTCAGTGAGTGTGTTCATGCACAACACAGGTTTTAGAGTGTGTAATCAAGTTAATGATTAATCAGTTACTAAATGAATTGATAATTTCCATATTATTCATTATTTCAGCCTTATTCAGAATCAGTTTTTAGCAGTCGAGGATCTGGGCAGGACGTACGGTTAAGAGGAGGATGCACCTGGTGCCATCAGAGCACTAAGAGTCTTCAGAGTGGGCTGATAGCATTTCCTCATTTATATCCCTATTGTTGAATTTGAAGGGCTAAAAACAGCTTGGTATAGAACCTTTAAACAATAATTACCTCTGTGTTGACTACATTCTGATATGGAACAAGAGTATCAGTTTCAGTCTTATGGGACACCAGAGCCCATATGACAAAATCTGCATATTTATGTAATCTGCATGTTTAAAAAGGGACATTGTTCCAGTATTGCAGTATTGCAGTATGCTGTTGGTGTAGGCTGCAAACAGAAATGGAATAAAACATAAACACAAAGGAGCCGTGTGATAAAAACCAATGGTGGCATTTAAGTTCAAAGTAAATAAACACCATGGCTAATCCAGATGTTTTAGTGTGAAATAGCATGAGGCTGGCATCTTCTCCCACTTATCTCTACATTGAGTATATATGAATATTAACAGAGGCATTTACAGAACTGTATAGCTACAGTTACACAGCTAAATAAACAAATGTGTAATCAATTGTGATTACCAAAGCAAAACGAAACAAAGATGGTCAGCAGTCGGAATTACAAGAACATTCAGCATCATAACCTTCCATAATAAAGGCTTGGAGGTAGTTGTAATGGTAGTTTTCTTCTCTGTTTCAGAGATCCTCTGTGTCTCCGTCAGCCAGTTTCCGGGCCGGAGAGAAACATCAGAGTTCCAGTGATTTTTCATCTGACAGCAAAAAGCAGAAGACAGATGACAAAGAGCTAACCTCGACCCGCTACGTGAGTTACACGGTTGAAATCATCCTTGACTGAGCAGGGGAGGAGATGTACGGTAATACATTTTATTACTGAAAGAGAAAATTGGAAAAGAGAGGTAAATCACCTTTCTCTGTTCCTGGTAGTACCCTTTGTTTTTGAAAAACTGGGAAATGAAACAGAGTAGAGCTTGTGAGACTAAAAAAAAATACAGGTTTACCTATCTTCAAGTTAATGCTTTTTATTCTGACAGATACAAAATGTCAGAGCAAATTGGTTAGTATAGATTGTTAGATTATTTTACTCTATACAATAAGGCTAATTAATTTTCTATGTATTATTTCATTTATCTTTGTAAATGTAAAATTAAATTTTTCTGTGAATCCCAGGAAAGTGATGGAGAAAAGAGTGACGACAACTTGGTGGTGGACGTCTCCAATGAGGTACCGATCAGCTTTTACTTTTATTGTTGGGTATCATCATTTTTTTTTTTTTTACTAATTAAAAAAAATAATGATGTTTTTCTTTAAACATCTTTGCTCACCCATCTCAGGATCCTACGTCTCCTCGAGGAAGCCCTGCCCACTCTCCTCGGGAGAACGGATTGGACAAAAGTCGCCTGCTAAAGAAAGACGCCCCCCTGAGTCCTTCTTCCATCGCCTCCTCCAGCAGCACACCTTCATCCAAGTCCAAAGAGATTAATTTGGTGAGTCATTGTGAAACTATCGCCTTTTGATCTGATTCAGCTTTTTTATAAATTAACTTCCTTTTATTTCTGGCATATAGTCGTAAACATTACAAAGGATCATTTGAAGTGATGTATAAGGAAATATTAACCTTTGTGAATAAAGATGCACCAGGATATATGTAATAGATATGTTCTGGACTTCATTAGGGTAAAAAGTTTGAAAAATCACCTGCAGGGTTCGTGTGCAAACTTATGGGAAGCCATTATTTAGGAAAACAGATTATACAATTACCCAGATTAATTGATACAAAAAAACTGAGTGCATCTAACTAGAAGGAACCCTACAGTAACTCCTAATTTTAGGGAATTTGAGAAGGAAAGAAACTAGGAGGTTATATAACAAAGGGTATTTTATTTACTGGTCATTATTAAGAAAAATGACTGACCATTTTTAGGTTTGGGCCTCACAGATATGCGATATAACACAAGGCCCAAATGGAAAACAATGGCCTTTGAGAACCATTAGGTGCTGCCCATTAATCTGGAAAGGGTAATTAAATTATTCGAACACTATCTAAACTCAGTATGTCAATTGAGAAAGATTATCATCATCACCATCATCATCATTTTTATTTGTAGAGTGCTTTAAAACAGCTGAAAACAAACTGCTGAACATAGCTAAAAATAGTACACAATAAAATAATAAATTACAGCATAAAAACATAAAATAATATGAATTTCTTTAAGCTAAATAGACAAAGTCACAACACCTAAGTCCTTGCAGTGTTAAAAGCCAGCAAATAAAAGTACGTCTTGAGCTGTGTTTTAAAATTTGGCAGGGAAGGAGCCTCCTTAATGTACTGCTTTTACATAAAAGCGGAGCAGCTATACGTAGAGAGGCTCTTGCCCCGCTCAGCTTCCTCTTAAACCTCGGTGCCTGCAGGAGCTGCTGTTCTGCTGACATGAGGGATTATTTAACGTCCCAAGAAACCAATCCCAAGGTCAGGCTATGCAGCACTCAGTAAAACAGCAAAAAACTCAGTATCTCCATTTAGACTTATGTTAGCCTGTTAAATGTCAAAGATCATATAGTTTGAAAAGGAGTATGACAAATTAACAGAAATAAATGTGCAGTTATTAAGTGTGTCATAATTTTTAGATTTCCGATTTAAATGAATAAAGTTATGCTTCAACATGATTGAAATTAGTTGTGCAGTTTAAAAAGAAAAGAAGAAAACATCTCCAAACCTCAGTGAACTAAATATGATGATCCCGAGCTCTTTGAGTTTTTCTTTTCATGTGTGTTTATTTAAATCCTCTGTGTTTTCATTATGTCTATTTGTCTACCTTCCTCAGCGTCCTGTTTGAATTTTTCTCCCAGCTACTTTGCATTCATTTGATTGTACGCACTTGGTGTCTATGTTACTCATGGCATCGTCACAGTATTCAAGTTAGTGGTCATGTTTCCCACCCTCTAAATTCTTCAGTCGCTGTCTTTCTGGTTCCTGCGTGCTTTTCTAAGGTTCGTTATTAACAGATATATTTTTCATGACAGCACAAACCCAGCTGCAATTTGAGTCCAACACAGACCTCACAACATGCGACTGAAGGAAGACAGTGTGATAGAATGATAAAATGATCGCACGGCTGCTAAAGGTGGCTCCACAAATTATGGACTGTTTGGATTTATTTCCAACAAATTTCCTTTTAAGATTTATCAATTTTTATAAATCATGACTGAGAATGTATGCATGCAGACTGCACAATCTACACTTTATATTTAAATTAATTGTAGAACTTGTTAGGAGCTCGATGAGCCCTGATTCTTAAATGCCTAAAAAAAGTATACTTTACAACAAACAGTGGGTTTCTAAGTTGGAAAATAATTTTAAGATCAAATTGTTTTCTGCATTATTTTATTATTCCTAAACCAGATGTATGTAAAGAAAATTTTCTTGTAATTTGTTTTTGTTTTTTTTGGTTTTGTGGATTCAGAATGAAAAATCGACAACGCCTGTGTCTAAGTCCAGCACCCCAACATCCCGTTCTGAGGCCCCCACACCTAGCAGCACCTCCACCCCTGGCCTGAGGCCTGCGCCGAGCAAACCCACAGGAGCTGAGCTGCTTGGTGGGTCCTGATTATAGCTAATTACAAAGAATCCTCACAGCACCAAGAAGCTTTTGTAAATCACAAAGAACTTGGTTAAAATAACACTTTGGACTTGGAAAATAAGCCTTATGCTGTCAGTTTGACTCATTACAGATCAATATGTGGTCTAGGAAATTTAATATATATTATAGATTTATTCTATTGTCTTTTAAAGGTAAAAAAAAAAACATTACCTATTATGTTCTGGTAATGTTATAGAATTAGGTTGCTACTGTTATTTTTAGTAATAAAAAAAGCAATATGATTAAGTAGATCATGACCTTCAAATATTTCTGTTTACTTTTTAATTAATTGCTTAAACTTATAAACTGAAATTTGATAACAATTTTATGTTTTTTTTATACTGATTGAAGAATGTTTGTTATATTTTTTGCCTTGTTTCATCGTCCAGCTTCCGGTCTTCGCACACCGCTTGCAGTGCCCTGCTCTTACCCTGGACCGTTTGGAATGGTGCCTCATCCCGGCATGAATGGAGAGCTGAGTGGAGCAGGCGCCGTCTATACCGGCCTGCATAACATCTCCCCACAGATGAGCGCAGTGGCTGCTGCTGCTGTGGCGGCATACGGACGCACACAAGTGGTACATCCACAGAAACATACATCCTAAACATGCACCAATATGTTAAAAACAACAATGTTCATTGTATGATTTTAGGAATTTTCTGTCAGGATCCTAAAAAAAGGTAATCAAATGTAGATTGTGAGGGTGAATTATGTTTATGCTATGTTTTATGGAACTCTCATCTTTATTGCTGTTTTTAATCTATTTCTATAACAATCAGCAGCTCACCCTTAAACATGCATGCTAAATATTTTTTTTGGTTCTTTAAGATGTGCTTCCAAGCATCTCTGATGGGGACTTAAAAGCTTTTTATTCAGATTTCTGCTTAATAACTTCAGGTATTCCCCAGTGGATAACCACATTTTGTCTGCAACCTCCAACATTTTTCTTTAAAGTAAAGTTTTGCTTAAAATCTTGTAGCCTACTAGTGCCCTTAAGGTGAAGGTCACTAGCAACAAGACAGCAGCTGTTCTAACACATCTAACACAAACAGAAAAGAAGGAAAGTCTTTTAACCATTAGGAAATAGTAATCTTCTGTTTGCAAAAAGAAACCCTGAAAATAAAAACACCAATAATTTTCTATGTTCCTCGTTGAAAATATTTAACTGAATAAGTTTAAGTGTTTTTGAAGTTGTTCAAAATTAAGTATTCATGAAGTGTAATGGAATTTTCATTAAAACAAGAAGAGCCATCCTTCAATAAGATTTTGGTTTTGTCTAATTGTTAAAGCTCCTTAAAATTGAACCATTTCAACATTTCATTTCATTTTTTGTTTTATGTAAATAAACTGATGCTTCTTAATTGATAGCTTAGGAGTTTTGTTTGTTTTTAAAGCTATCATATTTATTTAATCAATACAGATTTGATTAAAGTCAACTATTGCAGCAGTATTTTACAGTAGTGTATAGTAGAACTATAGTCCTGTTATCTTTTTTAGGTGGGATTTGATCCTCACCATCATATCCGAGTCCCAGGCCTTCCCCCCAACCTGTCAGGAATTTCTGGTGGAAAGCCGTAGGTTTCCTCACCTCAATTTTTAATGTCACCACCACACCAAGGAAGACACATGGTTTTGTCTTCCTCCTGTTTGCTTTCATTTCACTCTCCATTTTTTTTTTCAACACTCTTTGTCCCCTCCAGAGCCTATTCCTTTCATGTGAGCGCTGATGGACAAATGCAGCCTGTGCCTTTTCCTCCAGACGCTCTGATTGGCCCCGGCATCCCACGCCATGCACGACAGATCAATACTCTTAGCCACGGAGAGGTGGTGTGTGCTGTCACCATCAGTAACCCGACTCGTCATGTCTATACCGGGGGCAAAGGCTGTGTGAAGGTGTGGGACATCAGTCATCCTGGTAACAAGACCCCTGTTTCCCAGCTAGACTGCCTTGTAAGACCTATCCCTTGATCCTTGCTGTATATTCCAGACAATGTCAATAAAAACATGTCATAAAGTTATTTAATGTCATTTCAGAACAGGGATAACTACATTCGCTCATGTAGGCTGCTTCCTGATGGACGGACGCTAATTGTTGGGGGCGAGGCAAGCACTTTGTCTATTTGGGATTTGGCTACACCAACTCCTCGCATCAAAGCAGAGCTGACCTCATCTGCACCAGCGTGCTACGCTTTGGCCATTAGCCCTGACTCCAAAGTTTGCTTTTCTTGCTGCTCTGATGGAAACATAGCTGTCTGGGATCTTCACAACCAGACTTTGGTTAGGTAGGTGGTTAGAGATTGGTTCTGGATTATTGTATTGACAGCCCTATTTGCCTGTCTACATTCAAACGTAGGAAATTTAATGGCATCCATTTCTTAAGTCATAGGGTTTAATATAATTTCACTTCACCATTTGCAGCTGGTACAGCTCTTCGACTCATCTAGAAAGGCTTTCGCAACATTTAATTGTTTGTTAGAAATGAACAATTTTTCAAAAAAAAAAATAAAATCAAATTTTAACCAGTATCGATTTTTTTTATTTCCTTCATGCTAATCACAAGTATGTAAAAAAAAAAAAAAAAAAAAGTAGATGTTTCTCTGCAGGGGTTTATTGTTTTCATGACCTTGAAAACTTGCTTGTCCAGAATCGTAAAAGTGCTTGTTTCTTCATGCTAGCTGCAACCTTCTCTTCATTTCTCCGAGTGTGTATTACCACCACCTATAGGGCTGGAATTAAAAAGTCAACGTCTTACTCTTATTTTAATGTGACCAAAATTCTGTGCCACTATGATTTGAAAATTGCATTTTGTCAAATTGCAATTATATTGCAAATTCAATGAAATGCCCAGCCCAAGTGTTTATGGGATTTTTGGACATTCATGAGGTCAGACACTGATATGGGATGAAAAGGCCTGGTTTAATCCCTGTTTTTCAACTCACTCCTGGTGTGTTCAGACCATTAAAGTTCTTCCACATTAGAGTTGAGGTTTGATGTATTTAAGGGCAACAAGCGTCTGGGAACACATATAAGCAGAGTGATTAGTTTCTGGTAGCAGGTGGAGAGTGAGGCAGGTATATAAAGGGAGGGAAACAGGTGGAAGGACTTTGGGGATAATTAGTGGCAGCAGCTGAAGCTAGTTATGGTTCTAACTGGTGGCTGCCGGAAATTGACCAAAGGAAATGCACCTGGGAATAATAATTCCAAAACTAAAACAACAATAACCAAAGCATGTCATCTCCCTTCTGCCAAACTGGTCCATTGCAATGCTATACATAGGCATGAATGGTCACATACTAACTTCTTTAAAGTCCAGTAGTGTTATTTTTTTTACATTCATGTCAAATCAGCATATTGCTATTCACTTTGCATTTTTATTCTTTTTTTATAGTTTAAAAATGTACAATCATAATAAATAAATTATAATGTGCTCCGATGAGCCTTGTTTATCAGCTTAAATATACCTTTTGAAAATATCAGTCTTTAAGTGGGTATTAAAATTATTTTAATTATTCCACATTTTGACCTTTTTATTGGTCTGATTTTAAGCATTACCGGTATGTTTATATCAGATGTTATCCAGAAATACACATACTTAACAAAAAAGGCTTGAAAGTATTAGTCTGTGTGTAATTTCTATATAAAACTATGTCAGTTATTGAATTAAGTTACTGGGAAAAAAACAATTTATCAACTGAATATGCATGTGTATATTCTTAGAATGACAATTTTTACACTTTAGTTATAAGTTAAATGATTAAATTTGATCCAGTCACTTAAAGACCCAGTAATGTAGCTTCAAGTAATTATACTGCATTTTTTTAAGTAACAAAAGAAACATACAAGAGGCGTCATTATAGAACTTTAGCCTAAATGACCACAACGGGAAATGATTGAGTTCTACTGTACTGTGCAATGCACTGAACTAAAAAGAAATTCTAGAATGATAACGCTTATGCTATGTTCTGACCGCAAGTGTTAGAGGCAGCAGAAGCAGCTGGTTTACATGCAAATTCAATGGTTGATGCGCATCAAGGTGCAGCAAAAGCTCCTGCAGCACATCTGAGCAGCTGAAGCAGCCCCTCATGAGCTTCTTAGCATCTGACCCACGTGATGCGCTGCAAAAGCAGCAGATGCTGGAGTTGAAAAAATTTTTAACTTATGCTGTTCGACGCGCAACATCAACCAATCAGAGAATCTGATCTGGGAGCTGGCAGGGAGACAGACACAGCGCTGCTGATGCAGATTGCTATGATCGCTCCCTTGAAACAGTTTATTAATGCCTAAATTAACTTAAAATGTTAAAACCTGCCAGCAAAATATGTTAGATTTTATTTATTTATTTTATTCTGGTGCCTGCAGTTTGGATTACGTACATGAAAATCGCTAACATCTCCTTCCAGCCGCCATGAACATTAGAGGAAAACCCAGAAGAGACAAGGCCAGAGGCAGCCGTTGAAGGAGATTTCCAGGGACAGAGTGCAGATGGTGTACGGGGGTCTGAGCGGCTCAGACAGCGAAATAATATTTGAAGGCAGGATCATAATCTTGATAAACTGAATGCACAGATAAAGTTTTCAGTTGGACTTTCTCACTTAAAAACATATTAAAACTATTTTTTACCCACTTATAACAGCAAATATAGCAAAGCCGCTCTGTTTGCTAAACACAGGAGCAGCAGAAGCATGAGACGCACATGGACACACTTTTCTGGACGCGCTTCAGGAGCAACAAAGCTGCTCCTGATGCACGTCTGACCTTAATGTGAACAAGCATCTAAAATGAAGCAGCAGAAGCTTTTTTGCTGCTTCCAGCTCTTGCGGTCTGAACGTAGCATTATTTGCTTATTTTAAAACACCAGAGTGGTTCTGGTCATTTTGCAGCAGTGCAAATAACACAGTGCTATGAACATATGGTCTCATATATTGCAAGACTTAGGGGAATTTGTCCTTTTATTTTTACATATCAGGTATATTTTTACCTTCTATACAAGTGTTGAAGCAATTTAAAAAGCTTAATAAATGCCATTAAATACCATCGGGTCTCTCTTTTTTTTTTTTTTTATCTCAGGCCAAAGTCTGGTGTAGGTTCTTCTGACCATTAACAAAATTGCAAACTTTCTACTTTTCTACCAAACTGATTACAACACTGCAGAAAACCATGCAGGTCATAAAAATGTATCACCAGCCTTTGCTTGAATAAATAAATGGTAAAAACTGGTACTTTTCAAACTTTATGCTGCAATTCAAAAGTTAGCTTGTTTTTTACCAGGGCAAGAAAAGATAGGACTTCAGTTTTTAGCTCCAAACTAACGTTAACTGTGGCACAACTGTTGTCAGATCAATCCTACAAAAATTCCATTTATGTTATTTCATTATCTTTGTTTTCAGGCAGTTTCAAGGCCACACAGACGGGGCAAGTTGTATAGATATCTCTAACGATGGAACCAAGCTGTGGACTGGTGGTCTGGATAACACCGTTCGTTCTTGGGATCTGAGAGAGGGCCGGCAGCTGCAGCAACACGACTTTACTTCTCAGGTATACGGAATGCTCCAAAATAATCCCACAACAATGCAGCGCTGTAATACCAAATACAACATTATACAAAAAAAGCTTGGTTTTTATAAAAAAAAAAAAAAAAATTATACCATTAGTTTGTGCTATAGATAAAGTAAAAATGTCACAGGCTAGTACAAATTGTGCATCCCTAGACAGGTCCTTGCAATTGCATGTGTGATTACTGTCTCTACTTTTGATTTATTGCAGTAATTTACAAGCTCAGTTCAGAGCGTTTAACCCACACTAAAGGCTGGACTGTTTTTGTCATGCCCTCAAATACTTTTAACTCTGATAATACTTGCAGTTTCAATTTACCTTTTTTTCAGGCAAGGAGAAAAGCAGCAATAATTGACCATTATTGCAATTTTCCTGAATAAGGCACATTTTACAACCCGAGTTTGCACATGAGGTCGTGACTATCCATTTAAGAGGTTTGAGAGTGAGGGCAGACAAGACAGGAAGTGATATTGCAGCTTTACAGCTGCAGTGAATTTATTACCAGATTGAATCTGTTCATTCATACAATTTTATCACGGCAATGCTGCAAATATTTCTTACTTTTTTTCACGAACAATGACTAAATCTACCATCCAAGTTACAACATGTGGCTGTCTTTAAAAGAGGACTATTTCTCTTTGTTGCAGATCTTTTCTCTGGGTTACTGTCCGACAGGCGACTGGTTAGCTGTCGGGATGGAGAACAGTAATGTGGAGGTCCTGCATGTCACTAAACCTGACAAATACCAACTCCACCTACATGAAAGCTGTGTGCTCTCACTAAGATTTGCTCACTGTGGTAAGAATGAAACATGGGACACATATGATAGTATATCACATATAGCCTCCTTGTTTAATAGTGAAATATACTTTTTCTTAATAAAGGCAATAACAATGAATAACCCTGATTATTTTAAAGTATGACTATTAATACTGGACAGCTATTTAAAGATTTTTAAACTGGTTTGGCTTGAATATTAATTTGTTAGCCTATCAGGGTCTTTTCTACCGATATAATCCTAAAGATCAGGTGCATGCACAAAATACGCCTCCATATAAAAATCTGTTCTTTACTGAACCTAAAATTACGTTTTTGTTGACATTAAAAAATCAGTTTTTATTGTGCCTGGAAGACATTAAATGTGATTTAAGATGATTAGAAAGTTGTAAATATAAAAAACAGAATTAATCCACAGCAGTTTATAGTATCTACATAATGCTGCTCCATCTTTATAAGAGCATACCGCTTGTAGAAGTGCGGTTTTTACCTCTGTAAAGGGTAAAAATATCACCTTTATAGGGCTTATAGTAATTATGAATTGGACTTCTTTTGGCTTTATTTTTGACAATTACTTTTTTCTTGCAACCATCGAACAAAGGCTAGATTTGTCAAATGCAAGGCTTGTCTACCTTAACAGATTCTCCAACCTGAAGTGTGGGTCTCTGCAGGTCCTATAGCTACATTGGGCCTCTAGAGCAGACTTACCTATTTCAGATGATGGAGAATAGGAGTTCTTTGTGAGATGTTCATTAACTCGAACACTTTTTTATAATCTAGCAATGGTTTAAGTATCTTTAAAAGCTTAATTATCCCTGATTTGTCTGCTCTTAAGACAGAATGCTTACATAAGAAATTGTAAAATATCTATGGGACAAAAACACTATCAGCTGCAAACCTAAACAAACAATCACAGTCAAAGTCTGGTTTGGATTTACAATTGTATCATGTTAGCATATTCCCTAGCCTTTGTTTAACAAAGTTTTATCTGGATAAGTGTTTGGGCGGTTCTCTAAAGACAAGGTAAACAACAAAAGACCCTGGAGGTGAACAACGAGGGAAAAAAATGCTTAAGCATGTTTGATTTTATTTTGAAAACTTTGAATTCTGTCATATTCTCTGCAGGAAAGTGGTTTGTGAGCACAGGAAAAGACAATCTACTCAATGCATGGAGAACCCCATATGGAGCCAGTATTTTTCAGGTGAGCATTCAGAAAAAAAAAGGATAGTCGAACATTGGTTAGAATATGTGAAACTATTAAGAAGATCTATTGGATCTGCTGGAACTTTCTTTATAAGGACAGACATTTGAATATATATTAGCTATAGAAATACTTTTTTTTTTTTGATTTTTAGTTTTCACTAAAGTGTGTTCCTATGTTAGCAGAATCTGTCAATTTGTTACATTAGACAACATGTTTCTTTCACCCTTCCAGTCAAAGGAGTCATCATCAGTGCTGAGCTGCGACATCTCCATAGATGATAAGTATATCGTGACGGGCTCAGGAGACAAAAAGGCGACGGTCTACGAGGTCATCTATTAAGAAAGCTGGACTTCATGGTCATCCTTTCATCAGGATGTAAAGTCTCCTATCATGCGTACGAAATCCAACAATAAAAAAAAAAAAACAATATTTTCTGGGATTTTAACATTTTGACCTCCTATTTCTGAAAGGTTGTGGATCAAAATGAACGAAGCACATAGATTTTTCTTTTTTATCTTTTTTAATTTTTAAGCATTGTTATGTTGATGTAATTAATAATGTTGTACACTTCTTGCTGGATAAGATCTCCTCATGTAACATTTAATGTGCAGTAAGCATCTCACTCTTTTGATTGTTTACATTATTTTAGGTGGCCTAAAAGGCACTTCCTTTATAACAGGTTGCTATTGCTATTTCTGTATAGTTCCCCTCACTGACTGCACCTCCAAGAGTTGACAGATGCCTTCAAGGCTTCATGACAGAGGGTTAGCAACTGCAGACAAAAAAAAAGCCTTAAGATCATGAAATATGTTACTGAATAAAAAAAATCTAACCTGTAATAGCAGTTTGTTTAATCAAAATCACTGATGGCCCAAATATTGGTCCACCTTATGATATTCACAAAGGATAAATCTAATATAAATGAACTAGTAAAAATACTTTCTGTTTATCTGCATATCAATAGGACTTATTTCTTTTAACCATTGAATACTAGGCTGTCTAAGGATCCATATTGAGCATAAACACACAGCAGAGTATTGAATACTAGAAAATACACTCTTCAATGTGCACTTTTGGAAAACTGTAGCAAGGCATCATGGTGGTCCATACGAGCACAATGACTTATCTGCCCTACCATCACAAAAGCAAATGTCTGGTATTTGCTAAACTCTATCGAGACTTTAATTGGAACCAGTTGCTTTTATCAGATAAGACTAAGCTTGAGCTTCTTGACCACAAACACTTCAAACGGGCTTGGCATTAAAGAAAGGGTGGATCTATGTACTGTAAAAGCACCTCTTGCATCTTGTTCAATTCTGTGGAGGAACAGTGGTGCTGTGTGGCTATTTCTCTTCCAAATAACCTTGAAACTTTGTTCGAGCTCCTTTTACAATTGAGTTTTTGAAAATGAAATGGAATTTTAGAATTAAAATCTTAGAGAATCTACCAAAAATGGTTAAAAAGATGTCATTACTCAGTTATTCGGGCTTATATTGTTGTAGAAATTTGTAAACACGGTTCTTTAGAAACAAGCCCCTGCCTTGCCACAAGTCTTTTAGAAATATGTGGGGCAAACCAAAGGAAAAGGGACCCAGGTCTGTTATTTATTTGTCAAGATTAAGCAAAGTAGCAAAGATCTCTCTCCCTCACTTTGTGCACCAACCTTGCGAATCTTTCTCTGAAAATACTTGGGTCTGACCTACTGGCATAAAGATACTGAACAAAGTGTCAACAACAGGAATACATATATTTTAACGTTTGTTTGAGACAAATACTTAAAGGTGTTGTGGAGGATTTTCGCGAACTTTTTAAAAGACTCAGCCTGTCCCCTTAAAAAAAAAAATGCACATGCACAACCCTGTGCATGTACTCCCACGAGGGAACGCCTATTACATGTGCAAGAGCACATTTCTCCTCATGCACGCTATGTTTTAAGTTTTTCGTTCTCATAGCTCATACAAGCTTACTGTGTCCGAATGTCCATCCTAACCCCTTAATCCCTCAGTCACTATATAGAGCGGGGCCTATATGGTGGACTTTATAGTTAACTCAGTTAACCAACCGTTTGGACAGATGATCACTGCTTTTCGCTCCCTGTTGATCACTAGACTCCTCGTCCACTGCGCGATGACTGCACCATCTTTGTTATTAGTCGCCGCTGTTGTCCCACTGTCGCCGCTGTAACAACAGCCTATGGCGACAGTGGGACGCTGTGACCGCAAATCCCATGATGCTTTGTGAGGAGAGCTCTCCGCGCAAAGCATTCTGGGATCTATCTGCCTCTTCTGAGGCCTTACTTTTATTCTCATACACTTCGGAAACACATTTTCTCTTACGACCCTCAGCTATTTTCAAAGAACTGTGGTGAGAAAGGTGAGCTTCAATAACTGTCTGAAATCATAGCTCACCACAGGTATAAGCTAGGGATGGGACGATTTATGAAAACCGTCAGAACCGTTCGGTTTGACTGTCTCAGTTCGGTTCGCGTGTGTTTCGTTCGGTTCATGCGCTGCTCCTTTTTCTCATAGGCGAAGCGTTTACACTCCAGAGCAGAAGGTGGCAGTACTGCGACCAAAGCGAACCACCAGTAGTAAACAAGAAGAAGAAGAAGTGAAGCAGCTTAGCCGGGTGTAGCAGGGAAAAAAATCAGTTGTTGTGGAGAATTGTGTGGGTATGGCGAGTGGGAAAGAACAGGAGTTGGAAGGCGCGCCAGCAGCACTTTATAGGTCTGCTGTATGGGACCGCTTTGCATTTAGAGTGACCTATGATGACGGCGGAAAGAAAGTTGTGGATAAAAGTGCAACAGTGTGCAAGCATTGTGCAACACGTTTTGTTTATGCTAACAGCAACATGACCAACATGTCATGCTGACCCCGAAATCCCTCATACTCCGTCAGCAACCCCCGCTCCGCCCCGCTGCGCTCCAGACCGGCTGCTCAAAGTAAAGCTACAGCCCCCACTGTGGCTTCGTCCGCTCCCGTCTGAGTCCCTTGGAGATGGTAGAGAGCATGCGCGAGATGATTAAATTCAAAGCAGCAAAACATACGGAGATGATCCAGGGTTTCCACGGATCATTTAAAATAATTACAATCCATTATTTTTGGGGGGATTTTTTCATTAATTCCATAAACTTTTATGGGATTTCGGTGTAACAATCAACATGTATCGAACCGAACCGAAAACCGTGACCAGAAACCGTGAATCGAACTGAACCGTGGATTTTGTGAACCGTTCCACCCCTAGTATAAGCCTAAATGTGCGCATGCACAGAAAAAGATAGCTAATGGGACGGCCTTACCTTTAAATTAAAGGTATGATTTTCTTTTTTATTCAATGCAAAATATGTTACTGCAATAAAACATTAAATTATTTGAATTTTTTTTTTTACATTGGTGTCAGCAAATGTTATGTTTTTTTTATGACAAAATGAACCTTAAAGGCAACATGTTCATATTTATTGTGTTTTTCATCTCTTTTCTCTTTGAAACAAAAATTTTCCTCTAACAGCTGTTAGAAAAGCTTCATGTGAAACACATGAAGAGTTAATTTCATTACAGTTGCATGCTGACGGGTGCTCTTTCTAGAAGAGGATTTGGACAGTTATCTTATTATCTCTGAGCTTGTTTGGGGTCTGACAAATTGGGAACAAATAGGAACCAGCCTTTTAGAACAGGTTGGGAGGGCACAATAAACAAACTAAGGCATAAGGAGATCATAACACAAACTTTTAGTGTAAAGACTGGTTTACCCAATCCAGAAATAACAACATGTCCACTGTACAGAGGTGTGTGATGTACTTAAACTGTATTATCTGCTCTCATTCAAACATACATTATACTGTTTGTAAAAAAAAAAAAAGAAAAAAAAGTGCTTAAAGGTTTTGTTTTGTATTTGAATGGATGATCTGTGTTTTGATTTTTTTTTTAGGATGTGGCTTATGTTTAGTACCCATCAGTATTTTCTACCACCTTTTTCTTCTTTTTGCTGTAATTCCATTTCAGGTTGGAAGTTTATAGACGTGTGTGTGTTTGGTGTCTATGCTTCAATCTCGTGGGCGATTTATGAACAAACTAAAGAGGCAGCCCTCAGTGTGCTAACCCCTGAAAGACCTTTGCACTTGGTTCTGACTCCCAGTTTGGACTTCTGTGAATGCTCTTTTGCTCTGCTCTGACAGTTTTTCTGTAAAGCTTATTTATTGATGTTTTGGAGGTCAGCCTTCTCATTTCTGAACTTGGTTTTCTGTTGCTGGACTTTATTTTTGTTGTATATAAAGAAAAGAACAAAAGTTGCCGATGATACAGACTGAATTTACTACGGATTTCTTTTTTCCTTTAGCTTCTTGTAAAAAAAAAAAGAAGAAAAAAAAAAGAAAAAAGAACAATACAGTGCCTTTATAAGACTACCGTTTCCTGGATTCTCCTTTACCATTCCTGGTTGTACAACAAAACTAAGAGTTAAAGTGTAACCCTGTTAAAATACTTTTTTATTATGATTATTCATTTGATCAAGTATGTTTTTTTCAATGTCAGGAAGTAAATATATGTTAAACTTGTATGCTGCAGTCTGAAAGCATCATTTAGCCAAATGGGATTTATTTTAAGCAACTACAAATAGTTATCGTATACCTACGCAGCAACATGCAAATCTAGCTTTGAATTTCCTATTTTAAACCTATTTAGGGCAAAAACTTGTGTAAAAGCAGATGAGATATTTCAAGCTTTGGAGATTGTATCAGTGGGGTCTCTAAATGAGGATCTATTGAGCCAAATATGTTTTTTGATTAATCTAACTCTATACTTTAATCTCCTAAATAAGCCTACCTGAACCACCTGTAACCTTTTAATGGTTAAATGTATGATAATAGTCTGAAATAGTCTGAAGGATGAGTAATTCAATTCTGCATTGAATTACTCATCCTTCAGCAAATCTTTAGCCTCTCCAAATTATTATTAAATAGTGTTTTTATTTCATGAAACAAGTTTTTATGTTATATATAAAACCATGATTTACATCATTCAATCCTAACATCCTTCAAGTATATAGAAATTATTTTAAACCCCAATTAAGAGAGAAGAGCATTTATGTTTGTGGTACGAGTATGTAAACTTGGCAAAGACAAGGTTTTCTTTTAGTAACAGGTAAAAAAGAAGTCAACAGAAATTAATAAACTTGTGTTAATATGGTAGGATTGTTCTTTTTACACTAGGTACCTCAGAAGGATTTAAAAGTTTAATAAGTTTTGTTATTTACAGCCTTTTTTCTGCCAGTTCTGCCTACAGTCTTACAGCTCAGTGTTTCTTCGCTTTCTTTGTATCATTTGTAACTTTGCCTTACAGTGCTCTTTTTTTTTTTTACTTGCAGGAGCCAACATTTTTCTATTTAAACAAAAGCATTTGGTTTGCTTTCACTGAATGCTCTGTTGTTTTTAGATCTAGTGATTCTGTGTTGAACTGGATTTATTTATTTTGATTCTATCCTCGACACCTTAAATGTACTTTTGTTGTTCTCAATGTTAAGATCCAAACCTGAATGTCACTTTTCTCATTTTAATGCTACACGAATAACACAAAATTAAGATAAACCATTTATTAATGATGTACAGATCACTTGGTTTGACTGAGCTCACAAAGGTGTTACAGCTTGACTGTAAAACATGTAATTATTTAAGCTGTGAGCACTTAAAGAATAATCCTGTAACCAGTTAAGCTTATTTTCTTTCAGTGTAAAATGGCTTTGCTCTCTTTTTTCTAGTCTGCAGCTGATTTTATTAAATTATTGTGTCAGTATATTTTGTCTGAGTTTCTTTTACAGTTTGCTTTTAAGACTGTGGGAGTTTGTTTCATCAGTCCCTATGGTAATTTCTGAAATTGAATTAAAATGTAGCTAATGGGACATATTTTAAGTAGGAAATCTTACGTGGAATTATGGTAATGTTTAAAAAAAAAAAGAATGAACTTTCAAAATTTGGTTTTTTGAAAAAAAAAATTCACATATCAAATCTAGTTGTTCTTACTTATTAATATTGTTATTACTGTTAGAAAGCAAGTTACTAGAAATATTCTAAAAAAGAACAAAACAAAATATACAATGATTAACATAAATGAATTTTATTAATGTTTTTGTATCCACTATTTCCCCATGTGTCCCTGCACTCTCCACTTGTATTTCAGTTGCTGTTCCTTATATATTCTGCTGGATTCTCTCTCATCATCCTCCAGCTTCCTGTGTTTTCATCGTGTTCACCATGTTGATCCATTTTGTACATCAAAACATCCATTTTCCACAAATTTTCTGCCCTGATCCTGATGCTGCTTTACTCCTCAATAAACCTAAATCTCGACATTTAATGAGAAAATATTAAGCGTACACCCGCTATACTTAAGGACTAGAGAGTTCCTTCATGAAAAGAACCATTGCTTTTTTAATTAAAACAACTTTGTTTCAAATGAAGATATTTAAGTACTCTGATTAGATTTGTAATGAAAGAAATTTGTTAAAATTCTTTGTTTTTAACCACATGCAGGGATTTGGTGTCATCACTCCTGCTACTGTATCTGCCCATTGGGAAGGAGGGCAGTCTTAGTCCATAATAACAGTAGCATTTTTGTCACAATAACATTTAATCACTGTTAGAAACAGCATGACTGAAACTAAAATTGTGTTTTTTTATGTGTTTTTTTGGCAATGTAAGCAATGCAAAATTTTTATAGACCTATGTACTACTAGGGTGGTGTACCCCCCATGAGCCCTGTTTACTGATGGGGCTTTATATCAGACAGTTTACTTATCTCTCTTTGGGCAAAGCTCAGCAACAGCTTATTACAGCCAGTCCTAGGCTAAACATGCCTGCTATACAGCTGCTTTTTAAACAAAATGTTTTTGAAATTACTTAATTCTAACAGCTGATTAATTCTTGAAATGTAACTTTCTAAATTTTTAGAAGTTTATATTACATATATCCAGATTAAAAACTGCACATAAATAAATCAACATCTGGTCACAAGTACATATTCTGCAGGCCAACTGTCTTTTTTGTCTAAATCTTTCAAACTTTCTTTTAAGAGAAAACTAAGCTTTTGTTTAAAAAAGAAATGTGATAATCGTAACAGAAGTTACACTCATATCAATTTTGATGGTCAGTTTTATGTTTGGGCTCATGATTTGGGTCATCTGTACAGATGGCATAATCGTAAATGTCTTATAAGTCTTCATAGATTCTTCATAAAGCATTACCACATTTGGTAAGTCTTAAAAGTAATAGCTTCCAAATTGACTCTTACATTTTACCTGCTAACCAATGCCTGTAAAGTATAAGATGGAGCTTTTGCATTTTTTCCATTTTCTCTGAGTACTGCACAGCCTGACCTTCATGTAAGAAGATTGATAGCTGTCTTACAGTAGGTGTTTTACACTTGAGAACAATATTTGAGAGAAATCTCTAAGGAATGGTCTCTTAAACTGCTCCAGATTAATAGCCGGAAATATTTTCATTGCTGATGTCTCTCCTTGGTCTAGTGTTAACTATCACAGCTGTATGAGCCAGACCAACAAACCTTCTGCTTAACAAAGCGGATCACTTTGTTAGAGACCAAGCATTCAAC